AGTGCATGTGAAAGGAAAGGGACAGATGCAGAGTGAGAGTGAGAGCAAACGAAAGGAGCCAGCGATAGAGTAGAAAGAAATCATACAATAAAAGGAATGGGAACGAATGTGTGATACGCAAAAGAACACGAAAACAAATAATAAAACAGGCGGACAGCTAGGACATGAATGCAGACAGACAAGTAATTCAAGCTATGCGTGCATGACAGCTATTGTACATCGTGTGGGGTATACGTATGTGTATGTGTATGTGTAGATCCAGTGATCTTTTTTCAGCGATCTTTTCATTCGTCGTAAGGCGTATCCAGTGTGGCGCCATATACTACAAGCTTGCGTCTCGGCAGGCATCTTTTGCGACAATCGTAGTCGCGGTCATTCTGAAACGATGGGGAATAGATCTTCCGACGATCTCTTGACGGTCGTTGGCATCAGCGTCGTTCCCATGCCTTAGTTATCAGATGCAGTTGTCGTCACCACTGCCTTGAATGGGTTGTAACCTGTGTACGACTCATCAGGCACAATCGGGCCAGGCATAAACGTGGGCCGTGCACCCAAGTCAACAGGTGCAGCTGTCGCGGCCGTAACAAGCGCGAGTGCGAGAGCGACGAATTTGAGTGAGAATTGCATTGGATTGTTGAATTCAAATGTGGCGGAAAAATAAGGAGTTGTACCAGAGCGGAGTATCAGACGGAGGTGCCTAATTTATAGACGGACAAAAGCACAGCATGAAAAAAAAAAAAAATGATTTTTCATGATTACAAGCATGGATGCTTGAGGACAAAGGCGATTGGCCTGTACACAACAGAGGGTTACGCTGCTCCAAGGAGAGAGAATGATGGGACGAGATGATGCAAGAAGCGGAGCAGGGACAGAGGAGGGAGGAGAAAGTGGAGGGGGAAGGGGAAGGGAAAAAGGGAAATGAAAAGGACAGAAAGATGTGGGGAAAGAACAGAAAGAGAGATTCGCGAAAAAAAAAAGAGGAATAGGAGACGCTAAAAGAGGAGGAGATTGAAAGGCAAGAGACAAGAGGCGACAGAGAGAGAGAGAGAAGGGATGAGGGAGGAGAAGAGAAGGGAGATAGGGAAGGAAAGAGGCAAATAAGAAGATAGAGAGGATGAGAAAGAGGGGAAGAGAAAAGAGGGAAGAGAGGGGAGGAATGAAAAGGAAAGAAGCGGAGGAGGAAGGAAGGAGGGAAGGAAGAGACAGGAGGGAGAGGAGATGAGGAGGAAGAGAAAAGGAGGGTAAAAAAGACGAGACAGGGGGGGTAGAGTAAGAGGGGAAAGGATATAAAGAAAAAGAGTGGAGAAGGAAAGGGGAAGGAGAGAAAAATTAGGGAGGATGAAAGGCGAGGAAAGAAAAAAAAGGGGCGGAAAAGGGACTCCACAGGAAGAAGAAGGGAAAGGGAGAGGAGAAAAGGAAGGGGAGAATAGAAAGGAAACAGAGAAAGAAGCACACACACATGGATAGATAGATATACACAGATATGTAGAAAAATGTAGAGATGCAAGCAGACAGATAGAAACATACACAGATGGAGACAGAGAGAGAGAGAGGAGAGGAGAGGGGAAGTAGAAAGAAGGGACAAAAGGATGGGGAAGAGAAAGGAGAGAGGAGAAAGGGAAAGAGAAGAAAGGAGGCAGAGAAGAGGAGGGGAAAGAGAGAGACACACACATAGACGTACATACGTACACAGGTATGTATGGACGCACAGAGAGGAAGACAGAGAAAGGGGAAAGAGAACGAGAGATGGGGAAGGGAAGGATAAGAGAAGGGGGCAAGAGGGAGGGAGAAAAGGGGCAAAAAGGAGAAAGGAGGGGAGGAAGAGAGGGAGAAAGGGAAAGAAGAAGGGAGAGAAACCGGAGGAGGAAGAGAAAGAAGTAGAGAGATGGAGACATACAGGCACACACACATACGTGGATAGGGAGAAAGAGAAAGAAGAGGAGAGGAATAGAGAAAGAAGGAAAAGAAGGAAATAGGTAGGAGGAAGAAAGAAGAAGAGAGAGAAAGGAAGAGGAGATGAA